GTCTCTTTCCTCGGCAATGCATCTACCACTGGTTTGCTCGTCGGAACGACCGCTGACGCTTCACCAAATATCCCAACCCAAACGTGTCGAGAGGACGTTGCCTCTGTTCCATCAGACTGTCCTCTTCATGTGCTTGACACCTCCTAGACATGCAGCAGTCTTTTGCCAAGTACCGAGGGGATGAAGTGAAGTTTGAGACGTGACCACACTTCCGTGCCCTCTCCTGTCTCCTGCACGTCTGTTCTCTCGAAGTGGCTGCTCAGGTTATGCGCCTTCTGTCGTCGCCTGGAGAACATGTTCCAGTCACGGGATCTGATACGCTGCTTTCACCTTCCTACGCACGTGAATTGCTCTCTGCACCTGAGTGAGCCTCGGAGTATGACCGACCAGACCAGCATCGCGACTGACAACGGCTCTTACAGAAAATAGACAAGGATTGTACAGCAAAGACATGGATTGACGAGAACGCAGATGAACTATTCTTGTTGGCGTCGAATTGGTGTTCTGGAGTCCCATCTACGTAGCCGTCGTTGACAGCTTTCTAAGAAGGCCGTTCCTCCAAGTATGTGCTGTCTTCTGTCCATTCTACGGAATTTTTTATTGTTCTTTTTTTTTCCTTCCCCTAAACCTCGTGAATCCCTTTGCCCTTCACCCCTTCTATCAGCAGTTCCAAGGGGAACTCTCAAGGAAGCGCGGAGGGTGCCAGGGCGGGTTCCAGCTGCAGACATCTACGGCAGTCAACTTCTTGCATTCGTTCACAGGCTCAGTCGCAATTCAACTCTGTTCACTCAGATACAACTCGTTATAAGACACGCTCGATTTTGCTCTTGGCTGCAGTGGCCTCTCCTACACTACAGTGACAAACACTGCCATCAGTGCTTGATTTGGAGCGGAGTGAAGAGGTCTTCCATACATAGTCCGCAGGCAACACATACAAGGCGTAGGGGTATAGCACATCTCAACCCTGGCCCTCCACAGCTGGGCCTCCATAGTCCATATAGATCCGCTCTCGTAGCCTTTGAATCCCTGGCTAGCCCCCCAATATCATGGCTCCACAGGCGTCTCCTGGTAGCTGCCTGCTAGTCCCAAGGGTGCCCAGCTGATGAACCTGAGCTAGAGCTTCAAGACCTCTGTTTGGTGCATAATTGGGGAATCTCCGGTTCCCTCCCCAGACTTCTGTTTGTTCGTCGTTTTTGGGACACTCCAAACTCCAGGTTTCTCAGGCCAGAACTGAGGGTCCAAAGACCCTGTTGGTGTCGCCAGAAGTGAGAGCTCACGTGCACTTGATTGGGATTCGAGGGTTGTTGTGCGGCACTGGGCTGGTGGAACTGCACCCATGGGAGGGATGCATCTGACGAGGGCCTGCATTGGGAGGAAGTTCATCAATAACGTCTTTGAACCATATACAATTCGTAGCCAGCACATCCACACCTGAGCCCCTATCACAATTGAAATTCTGTTCATTCGCTTTTCTTGTTGCGTCGGAGGCGCACCAGGCCTTTCCGTCATCTGGTGTGGATAACTGTGTGTGTGTCTCTATATCCTGGTATATAAGGATACCTCCCCAATTGCATCACCGTGTACTCAGTTACACAACATGATGTTAAACAGTATAGCATCTCAATCTGCCTTCACCTCAGTTGAGAATCCGCTCTCTCTCTCTTCCTCTCATCCTTCTTTCTGTACCTAATCCGCCCTTCTTCTTTCCGCCCTCTCTGTAAATCGCCAACCTTCAAGAAAAGCCTGAGGTAGGGCTTGGTCCTTCGCACATGTTTGGATCACAAATCGTCCGGAGCTTACCTGATCTTTGCACGGAAAGATCGCACCCTTCGAGTTGCCAGTACGGAGGCGTACACACGCAAGTGTGCCGTGCTGGATCTTTTTTTTTTAACCACCCAACTCTTCGACATCTCCTCTGTCACCCTCTTTCCCTAACGTAATTTCACCTTACGACTTATGACTCACGCACCTATACGACCCTGCCCGCTCCTTCCCATATCCAGTGGCCAACAAACTCACAACCCCCACAAGTTTACGAATCCACGCACACTTACCTTACCTTACTATACCTACCTACACAACCACACGCCGTTCCCCCAATCTTCTCAACCTCTTCCATTCGCGCACTGAGCTCGATCGATCGTGAGCAAAGTATTCACGTGAGAGGACAGATCCTTCGAAACAGGACTTCGGCTTTAGAAAGGTCCTTGTGCATCGACTTTCGATTACCAGGCGTGGCCTTCCAGTTCAGCTGGTCACTTCTTCTATCTACCCAGACTTGTAAGGATTTGATACCAGTGCCTCCGTTGTCAACTTGCTGATTTCATGTCCTCCTAGCTTGTGTCTGACTTGCCATTGAGGCCACTGACTGTTCCTTCCTCGAACGTGAAAATATCCCCCCAAGGTGCGTCAAGGCCTGCCACTTCCGTCTCTCAAAAGCGTTGCTGTGTTGAATTGAGCTTTGCTAACAGTTGACGTTGGTGTTCGATAGTCTTCATGATGTTCTCCGGTTCTGAAGATCTTCGGTCGCTCTCTGACGAGTCTGTCCACTCCCGCGTCGATGTCCCTGTCGAGCAACAGGCCTCTGTACACAGCGACGACCTGTCCGCTTCTGAGTCCAGTGAGATTCAGAGTGAGCCGACCGCTTCTCAGACCCTTCCTGCCGTGAACGATGTCGCTGCCCAGGAGCCCGACAAGCCCGATGAAGAACCTGTCGCTCCTGACGCAGCCATGGTAGGTGCCGAGCTCGATGATTGGCAACGCGCTGCTCAATACGAGGCCATGATTCAAGCCGCTCGTGTTCTTCCTGCTATCGACGATGCTCCGGCCAATGTAGGTGAAGGACCGATCGAGATCCTGTTCGAAAATGACGATGGCGATCGGCATTTTTCGGAGAGAAATTGCCTCCTATCAATTAACGACAAACTTCTTCCGGGTTACATTGACACCTACCGCCGTAGGCTTGGGGCCAGTCGAGTTCGGAATGGTGCTAAGACAACGGCACATTTCGTTCGAGGCAAACACGTATCGGACATCATCCTCATCCAGCACTTCATCATCGACATCAACGGCAAATCCACTCCTGCTGGCTGGATTGCCGTTCCTGTTCATATCGCTAAGCGGCACGTTCTTGTCAAACACGACAGGCGCAACAACGGTCTTCTTTCTGCCATCAACGTAGTCAATGATGTCATCGGTGATGCAGTTCAGCTTCGCCTATACGCTTCAGCTGATGAGATCAAGTCATCCGTTGCCACACGCCGATGGAGTCGGTTCACATCGGAGGATCAGACTGAATGGGCCAATGCCTGGGCTACGGCTCTCGCTTCCGACGAGCTCGTCATTGATCTTTGGCTTGAGGATGATCCCATGTTCTTGTCCAATCTTGTGAGTCCTCTCTCGACTGCCGACGAAACTCAAGATCCCATGGACGTCTTCTTTGCCAACGGTATCAATCAATACAAACACCTTGGCAAAAAGAACATCAACACA